TATTAAAGTTTTTCTTTCATTACCCATTTAAGCTGTCTCCAGCCATTATTAGTCTCAAAGTGGGTTCCTCGTCATCAAATTTGAAAACATTAGAATTGTTCTCAAAAGGAAACTAACCGGTCCTGTCTGTGATATCTGTTGCCTGCAAGTGGAGAATGTCGTCCAAAAGATGATCTTCCTTTATTACTTCTGGTTGTCATTCCTAAAAATGTAAAATATTACACAACTGTGAATATGATCATTTATATTAATTATTTATTATTCACAAAACAAATGATTCTGAAACTACAGTATGCCTTTAACTACTCTACTATACCATGCATAAGATGCAATTGGAATTAGCATCTAAATTCTTAATAGCTTTGTCAATACAAGATTCAAGGAGCAATTAACAATGATGTAGAAGCAGAGATAAAATTATGCTTATATAAAATTGCATAGAAAGGTTACTATAACAGAATGTATTTTCAATTCTACCTTTGGTGAAAAGAAATCTGTAATATAATTAATAAACAGTTGGTAGGCTATATAATAATGAATAGTAAATTAAGCCTTTTTGTATGATTGTACCCTTGTTGTTGTTGTATATGCTCATTTTCAAAATGATTTTGACATAGCACAACAACCTTACACAAAGTATTATAAAATTGGTCCAATGTTCAAAAACAAGGAGTAAACTAAATGGAAATGTTTAGTAATTGGAAAAATGTAACTAGTCAAGACTCTCAGAAATATGGTCTCCAAATTTGATTATTATTACTAATTTATTTGTGCAGTAATATTTCTAATCTTACTTGTAACATCAAAATGCTTGAAGTAAATTCTCTAGAAAGCATTTTAATTTAAAAAGAACATGAACAGTTTTAGTGATTGGACAAAAGCATAAACAAATATTATTTAAGCCATCCATTCACCACAACTACATGATAAAATATTTTTTTTAATTTTGAAGGATGTAAAATTGCACTTGGAGAACCGAAATCTAGAAAGAACTTACCTTAGCCTGAATTAATAACTGCCTGAAACTTTGGTTGAGTGTTCACCTATAGTTAAAAGAAATAATACAGTTCTAATCAATCCACTGAAATTTGAATTTAAGAACAAGAAAGCTATTGAAACCTTGTAAAAGACTAGTAAAATTTCCATATACTATGTTCCTTTTTAGATTATATTATTGCTGGAAGGATGTCAACTTGCTCAGAAAGAATGAAGATGTCACACTTAAAATTCGAAATTATGTGATCCATGAGATGCACAACCTGTCTATTTAACTCTTTCAGCATGGGCTTGGTCCCTGGGACCGACCTCACAACTGTTTTGTGCTTGTTATAGTTACCACGCTATAACTGTTAAATTGGTAAGCATATGTAACGAAATTAGGCAGATTATCAGTAAACATAACAATGCTTTCATACACAAAATATCAATATTTTTTTTATTAAGTTTTAAGGTTTGTAAAGCAATGTTTTTCTTATCCCCTTTTTTTTTCTTTTCACATGTTGCCTATCCAACATGCAAAGTAATTTTTATTTTAAGATTAAAAATACTTTTGTGCATCAGAAAAAATTTCAAATGCAAATCCTATATAATGTCTAGATAGTTATCAAACAGTTCTTAAGAAAAACTTTATATTTTATCTGTTATTTTCAGTAACGAATATCTGTACAGGTTTGGTCAATTTGACCGATCTCCTAAACACGTTAAAAAAATTAGGATATAAATATAAATTATGTTTTTTCGTCCTAGAATGACTACAAATTATAACATGAAAACATCAATGTTTAGACTAAATAGCTTAATTCTCATAACATTATACATTTATTATTTTTATAATATTGACCTTTCAGCCATGCCTGGCTAATAATACAGAAGTTACAATGACACGGCACATGTGCACTCATGTTACCGTATCCAATAATATAAAACTGACCTTTAGTCTAGACAAAGTGACCTGTCTTAGCTGTGTTTTAGTCAACTAGTATTTTGTAAAATACAGTCATCTTTCAATTATTTTACATTATATATGTATATAGATTATTGGCATTTTGAAATAAGTTCTTAAATTTATTTTTCTAAAACACAAAACAGTAAATAGAGTAAAGCAAATAATTATCTCTTCTATTAGTAGCTGCTTGACGTAGGTTATGAAACAAAATAATTTTTTTTAGGTTTTATATATACAGTTGAATAACCAAAAAAATCAAATTACTATATCAGTACCATAGAATTCCACTATAATTTATCAAGCTAAGTACCTAAGCTGTATTTCACTCTAAAAATATATTAAATTTTGAGCAGACTAAAGACAACCTACTTCCTTGAAATCTTGGTTCAAAAGAAATAACTGGCATATAAACATGTTAAAATGGCTGAGAAAGCCACTAGGGAAACATTCTGAGCTTCTGATTGGTTATTCATGTCATAAAAAGAAGTGTATATAAGGGAGTGTTTATAAAATTTAAAGTGGGTGGGTGGGATGCCACTGTGTTTGATTTATTACTTGAGCAGTATCTTAGCAAACTGAAGAGATGAGAGGCTCTTATTTTATATTCCAGCTTGTCAATATCAGTAATTGGAGTTCCTCATTCACAAGAAACTACAGACTTAGTATTCTGACATCACAAACATCTAATTTGAACCAGTGCTGCATTCAATATACCACATGACATACAAAAATTGATGTTCAACTCTGTTTTTTTATATTAACTTTTAAAGTAAGAAATTGAGTAAGGTATAATACCAACAATGAAACTATAATCTACAGTTTGATACACAACTTACTGATATACATTCATTAAATAGTAGCTTAATAAAATTTTGAATGCAAGTCAACAAACGCAGTGACATGACCTTTGACACATGACCCATTGGGACAGGGTTAATCCATGCTTTTTAATTAAAATAATTAATGATAACTTATTTTTTTAAAGTGTCACAAATTTTAGTAAATTATGTTATTGTACTTTTACCATATTGAAAGTCATATTGTTTGAAACAAGTATCTCTTAATACCTTGAAGGCTAAGTTGTAAACTGATATTCTTTGTCACCTTTATAAAGAGATCTTATAGCTACAGTTCTGAAATTAGAAATTTTAGCACTTGCTAAACTCAGGCTTATTAATATAATTAAAACCTCTTAAACAGAATCTTTATGTATTTTTAAGTTATTAAACTATTGGTTCTGAGAATTATAAAGAAGGCCAATAAAAGTTCTAACTTTGTACTCAGAACCAACTACAAGGAACATCGTATATTTTGTAAGTTGCAGCGAATCAAAATTCTTAATTATACAGTCAATCACATTTCAAAATGTCATAAATTTTTAAATGAATGTCTAAATTATGAACCTCAGATTCAAACACTAAGTATCAACATAAGCTCAAAGATTTTATTTTCTTCAGAACTACAGTAGTAAAACTGCAGATGACTTAATTCAGGTATTAAACATCTATAAGCACTGAGATATAATATTGGAGACTTATTTAAGAGAAGAAATGAGAGCCTTAATACTATTGATTATAATTAAAGCAGGGACAGAAGAAAGCTTTATAAGGCATAGTTAGAATTTGGTACCTGCCTGAAAAGTTGGTAGCAAAATTATCTTATTCATTTTATGTGTATATGTATATAAAAAGAGCACAGTAATCTATATTTTTCTAAAATTACTGTACGCTTAACTGTTTGTGAGTCTGAAACAATAATTTCTACATATGATATAATAATTGATTAGGTATACAGTATTTAATTTCTTTTTCATTAAGTGTATCGTGAAAAGAACAGATTTTTTACTAAATGTTGCACATGAAGACAATATTTCTTCAACTCTATTCTGATCTGATTTTATTCTTCATATTTAAGAGCAATTCAAATGCAACTTACTGCTCCAGTCTCTTTGAATCCCATGTACCTTACAATTGCAATTGAGCTACATAAAAAAAAACTTATTCCAGCACATTACTACTACAAGTTACACTACAGACATTTAAAAAGGCCTGCAAAGCAACAGCATTTGAAATTTTTTCATCAAACTAAAAAAATGTTGCAAGATTCACATATTAAACATTTACTCTGCCTTTTCACTCCTTTCCTCTAGCCATTATTTCACACTTTTCAGACATTTTAGTACTGTAGAATTTTAAGGAAATACATGGAAACAATTTTTGCAGCATGTAGAAAAAAAGTATCAAACAAATAACAGAAACTGGTGAGAATGAAAAAAAAACACCTGGTTTTAATTTTATAAAATGTTCTGTTTAGTCATGCTTAAAAGTGCATTACACTGTCTGTAGCATTTTTCCTACAAGTGATTTCACATATACAGGAGGTACTTCTAAAACAATATTTTTTCTAGAAATCTCCCAACATCAGAAAAGTTCCTGATGACTGGAAAAAATCTTCAATATGAACCCTATTTTTAAAAAAGGTCTATGGAGAACTCACTGTTCTACAGGATGATGCAAAAGTTGCATACTACCAAAATGTTTACAAGTCCTTCCCCTACAGCTGTTCAAAACTTACACTGTTGATGTCACAATAGTATCAGTTTTACACATTCTTGCAAGATAAATGGCATCTCAATTAGCTACTGTAATCAGAACAGTAGTTGGGGAAACACGACTTACAAAAACCATAGTAAGGACAGGACTTTAAATGTATCATGGTAGTGAAGCACAATATTTACTTCACTCTGTATATACCACTTAGTTTGACTTCTGTTGTTAAGAAATGTGTTTTGATCTGCTGTAAAAAGTTATTTACACAAATACTTGGAAAGTTGATATTTCATTTTTATGATTCTCAGGATCATTTCAGAAAAAGGAACCCTTGCTTCTCTCAATTTATTGAACTTGTTTTATAGGGCCTGTCTCCACTTTTTTTTGAAAGCATTTTAATATTTATGGACAACAAAAGGCTTATTCATTCCACCAAACTAAACTTTGAAAAATAAAAAATTCGAAACAAGCTCTTATCATTTAAATATTTATCAAGCCTTCCCTTAAGTTTACTGAATCAACCACATTTGAAGGCAACCCATTCTAAAGGTCAACCACCTTGTTATATAATAAAACTGTCTTAGCCAAAGATGACTGCTGCTCTGACAAAATTTATGTTTGCATCGTACTATGATTTTCACCATTAAGTACAAAAAAGGTGATGCATCAACACTATCAATTCTCTTAACAATCTTAAACACCTCAATCAGATCCCCTCTAACTCTATTTTTTAAGAGAAAACTATTTCAGAAATCTTAACTTGTCCTCGAATGACAACCTTTCCATCCCAAGTATTATCTTAGTAACCCTCCTTTGAGCCATTACCAACAATTCAAATCCCTTTTTAAGTAATAAGCCCAGGAGCAAACACAATATTCCAGATGAGACATAACCAATGACCTATATAATGCAGTTATAACCTTTTTATATTTATATCCAATATTTCTGTAAATACAAACTAAAATCCTATTTGCTTTACCATTAACAACAACACACTGCTTGATAGGCTTACAAGACTGATCAACCAAAACATCAAGATAATTCTTCTATAGTTTCATTAACATTACCTTGGACTTATTATAATCAAAAGTCACCTGCCATTTATTTGCCCAACTCCCCAAATAATCTAAATTATTTTGTAAAGCAGCAGCAGCATTTTCATCACAACCAGCAAGACTTAATTTCATCAGCAAATTTACTCAATTTATTGAACATTCCTTGATCTGTGTCATTGATATAAAACAAAAACAGGAAGGGTCATAACACTGATCACAAGAGGTACCCCCACTTGTGACAATGATCCAGTTTGACTGAACTTTATTTATAACATCCCGCTACTTTCATTCAGCCAGTTTTTCAATCCAATGAGCCAATTTATCCTCCACACCAACAGAGATAAAGTTTTTAACAAGCCTTGAGTATAGAATATTTTCAAATCCACAACCTTACCCCATCTATATAATTATTTAAAATTTTTTGTAGGGCACTTTGTCAAATGCTTTCCAAAAATCCACATCTTTACACTCACTAACATAAACAGTAACCACCTCAAGTAATGTCAGAAGATTTTTCTCTTAATGAAACTGTGTTGACTATCATACAAAAATTTCAAAGATAGCTAAATTAATTTACAAGGCATCTTTTATTAGACTTTTAAAAACTTTCCCCACCACTGATATAAAACTAATAGGCCTATAATTACCTAGACAATTTTATCACCTCCTTTGAAAATAAGAGTAACATTAGCCAACTTAAAATCTTCTGGTGCTTGCCCACTATTCAAGGACTTATAAGAAAATATTAACAAATAGCACAAGTATCCAATCCCCTCAAACACCTTCAAAACCCTTTGGGAAATATTATTTAGTCCATGAAAAAAAAGACCCTTTGTTCTCCTGAAGAAGAATAAGCAACTATTCAAAAGCACTCAAGTTTTGGGTCTTTGTTTAAGTCTATTACACTTTATATTTGATCATTTGTGCTAACTCTTTTATTAAAATAGTTTATGAACAATATCATTCTTTAAATTATCAAATTTTCTCTTATTAAGCTCATAATTAATTTAGTCATCTTGTGCAATCATATTTTAATCTAGCAACTGTTCAAAATAAGGACTATTGCTTAAATCTTCATTAGTAAAAACTAAAGAAAAGTAACTTTTGGTAACAGTCATCTCATAATTACTAGATTGACTGAACTTCACCTCATTTAAAAAAAAAGCCTCTGCTTTCTTCATTCGAACAAGCCAACTTATTTCCCACACCTATAGATATAATTATTTCAACAAACTTTATGTGTGGCACTTTGCAAAATGCATTCTAAAAATCTAGGTTCATCAAATTCACACCTTTACCCTCATCTACATAATTAGTAAACTTATTCACCATAGTTTTTGCTGAATAAGTGATACGTTTAAATATTTTTCTGAATTTTAATCTTAAACCCACTAATGAGTAATTCAATCTGCAGTGATGTTGTAACTACTTTTCAATAGTCTGTACAGTGTATTTTGTTATCAACAATTATGAAGACCAGTAACAATGCAATGGTGCATTGTTAGTAGGACACCTAATCACCAAAAAGAAATGTTTATGCACTGAAAATAAAGTTTATAAACACTTTTATACAATAGTAGTGTGGTGCTTTCAAGAGAGTCAAAATGTAAAAAAATAATTTAAGAAACTTTTTCCCCTTTTTGGGTGGACCACGATGAAAGTACCCCCCTCCTCCTCTCATGGTGTGGCCTGGATGCATTTTACATAAAATGCTTTAAACATTCAAAATGGTTTTCAATCCATTTAATATTATCTATGAATGTAGGTAATTTTATTTACTTGTTTAATGAATCCATTTATTACTTTTTTCTCTCTCTGTACTTATTTAATTTCATTCACAGAGTAAATACTGTTAAATCATCTTTCAATAACTAAAACCTGTACAAATAAATAGTTTTCATATAAAAACACTAAAATTATCCTGACATTATATTATATAATTAAATTATATACAAGAAATTGTATTTTTTGTTGAAAAATAATTCCTTCATTTTTGTTCTTTTTCAGTTATTATGCAGACCCCATTGGTAGTATACTTTTAAACATTGTCAATCATAAAACTGATCAAAAACATATGGCCAATAAGTTTTGGTCCTTTAAGTTCAAATCTGTCTCTTTCACTACAGTAAGGAACTGACAACTAGAAGTGGCAGCAAAGTTATTATGTCCCATGAAGAACGAGCTGTTTATACATTTAATGACAGATATGCTTGTGTACAGACATCCTAAGTAAACACCCAAGCCCAAGATAAAAATTACTCTATTCAATAATCTCTGGATATTAATATGAAAATAACTTTGGTACTATTGTCACCAAGTTTTTGTTGGCAAAATAGTGTAGTCTATATTAACTATGTTACAAACTTTTAAAAGCTTCTGTTTGCACACTTAAGTTCTGAAGAAATAATAAACAAAATATATATATAATCATAGCTCAACCGTTAATATCAATTATGATGGTGGTTAGGCCTAGTACAACAGTCTGCAGCATGGTATTTACTTAACAAACTCATTGTCATAGATTAAGTTTTTGTAATAAAAATTAAATGCGGACTAATAAAATTGCAAAATTACTTGCTCCTTTAACTACACGGTGGATATGATTTTTACACCAAAGGGAGACCACGGGTTGGGACCTAAACTGCAGAACACTCTTCCTTCATCAGTCCATATAATTAGTGAATTACAAGCTTGCTACAACTTGAATTGAGTACAACTGCAAGTTACACTTCAATTCTAGACTAATACTAATAGCATATACAGCTATTCACATTTTTTATGTATTTACTTAAATATATAAAATGATAATAATAGAAATACAAAATAAAATTAATATAAAGGATATGTTTTCTACCTTAACTTGTTTTCTTGACGTTACGCCTTACAACGTACCTTATACAACGTTAGGCTTAACTCACAATACGACAACTCATGTTTAACTCAGTTATTAAGTCCAGTGGGTATTCAGACCTACAAAACGCCGATATGGCGGCAATAAAACTTATAATGGTATAGGTAAGTGTTTGTAAATTATAGCACGTGAAATTCAACTCACTTTTTAAAACAAAACACTGTAGTTGGGCACAAGAAAAAACGCCTAAAATAAGCAGCGCAGTAGAAAATTAACATTTAATAAGCTATGATGGATTTAAAATCCGTCATTTATGATATATGGATTTCTATCGGAGGTTTTTTTTTTTGACATTATACTGGTCACCAAAAACTATCTTTATAAACACCTCCTGGCATTCATCTCACTACTGGCCATAATTCCTCGGGAGCGAAAGGGATCTGGGTGTTCTACCGCCTTGTTTAGCTCTAGTTTAGCTATTAGAAGTTAAAAATCATAGTAAAGATATTCAAGGCAGGTTCTGGGCCCTTGGGCAGTGTCTAGAAAATATGCTACCAAGGAAACTTCTGGTGTTCCTATAAGTAATGAATTCTGTGATAATGGGTTGCTGACAAAGTCAGCTCTGATGTTAGAATCCATAAAAACTGCAAAAGAGAACCTTTTGTCAAGATGAAGATAGGAATGTGAAACGTGAGGACATATCTATAATAATAAAAGGGCGTGTCTGTGGGTCTCTGTGTGTGTGTTAGACCGCCATAGCTCCATGAAAAAAAAAGAATCTAGAAACCTGAAATTTTGAACACATACTAAGTGGACCCTGAAAGGGTGCACCTGGATATTATTACTTATCCATGTTCGTGCGCGAGTTGGCATCTTTTTATGAGGCAAAATAGGGAAAACCACATAGAAAAGAATATGGGACTGCCATAGCTCCAAGATCAAAGAACCTAGACACCTGAAATTTTGCACTCATAGTAAGTGGACCCTGAGGGTGTGCACCTGGGTATTACTTATCTTATGCATGCACGTCCGCATCTTTTTAATGAGGTAAGCTAATGAAAAGCCATATAGAAAAGTAGTAGTTCCTTATATTACAAATAGAAATCACACAGAGACAGACAGACACTCACATGAATGCGTGCGCAGTGTGCACCTGAGTATTATTGCTTATCTACATGCATGCACATCTTTTTATGCGAAAAAACACATAGAAAAGAAATGTTACCGCCATAGCTCCAAGAAAAAGAACATAGAAACCTGAAATTTTGCACACATACTAAGTGGACCCTGAGGGTATGCACCTGGATATTACATGGATATTTACATGCGTGTGTGCGCATCCTTTAATGCGAAAAACTACATTATGGGATGCTGTAGATTGGTTTTAAATATTATAGGACGTTATAGTGTGGTTAACTATTATGGGATATTTGTTACAAGTAAAAACACGTGTCTTTTAACCTATAACACTCATTGGAATATCTTCAATCTGATACACACGCATGCTTTAACCTGTAACACTCATTTGAGAGTTTACTATTAGCATATTGCTCAGTTAGCCTGATAACAGTCCTAGGAACAAGATCAAAGGCTTTGATATAATAATAAAAAGGGTTTATTGTGTGGTAAGTTTTCATTTGTTCGGAAGTATCAGCCTTTCAGCAAGTTCAGTTGTGCAGAGAACAGAAGAACTTGGAGAGAACATGGTATTACAGATACACGAGAAAGCTAGGAACTTCTTGTGGTATTCTCTGGTGCTGGCGGAGTCTACTGATCTTTCGAGTACGTCACAACTTCTCGTGTTCATTCGTGGTGTTAATTTGGACTTTCAGATCACAGAAGAGTTGGCATCCGTTTGCAGCATGCACGGAACAACAACTGGAGAAGACATTTTCATAGAAGTGCAGAAAATTTTGCAAGGCTATAACTTTCAGTGGAATCAGCTTCGATGTGTTACAGTTGATGGAGGAAAAAACGTGGCTGGAGTGAGGAAGGGTCTGGTGGGGCAGATACGAACTAAGTTGGAAGATCTTCAACTCTCG